GAAAATGGCGGCTTGGGAGTGAAAGATCTAAGGAAGTTTAACTTAGCATTAATGGGAAAGTGGTGAGGGAGGTTAGTAGAGGAAGAGGGTAGATTGTGGAAGGAAGTTATAAGCGAGAAGTATGGAATAGAAAGGGAACATAGCTTCAATTGGTTAAGGGAAGGGGTTGGATCGGGTTCTACATGGTGGAAGGACATTTGTAGATTAAATAGTGCAGAGAGAGAAAGGGAGGGATGGTTGGTTAAAGGGTTCAAATTAAGAGTAGGAGGAGGAGAAGGAGTAAGTTTTTGGTGGGATAACTGGTGCGGGGACCCTTGCTTTGCTAATAAATATCCCAGACTTTATATGTTATCTACAGGGAAAGACAACAAGATTTCACAAATGGGAGATTGGTGCAGTGACAAATGGAAGTGGGACATAAAATGGAGAAGGTAATTATACAGCTGGGAAGAGCAACAAGTCGCTGAACTCTACAAAGATATCCAAGATGCTCTGATGGAAAAAGGAAAAAGTGATCTGCGATTATGGACCCATAGCAAAGATGGGAATTATTCTACAAGATCAGCCTACAAAGTACTCACGATGGTAACAGATGGACATCAACGACAGTCAATTCACAAAAGGACGTGGAACCCAATTGTGCCAAGCAAGATTGCAGCATTCTCATGGCAATTAATCCAAGATAAGATTCCAACAAGAGGAAACCTGCTAAGAAGGGACGTCATTAAGGACCCTGCAGAAAGTAAATGTATTTTTTGCAAAGTGGAAGAGGAGGATTCCTCCCATCTTTTTATCCACTGCAAACTAGCATACAACTTATGGTCTGCATGTAACCAGTGGTGGGGTCTCTGTACTGCACTAGATAGAGATTGCTGGGGAGTGTTTGAGCAACACAGCTTCTTACACAAAACAAAGGAGGTGAAAGAAGGCTGGGAATGCATTTGGTTCGCTATGGTGTGGACGATTTGGCTGGCTAGGAACGAGCAAATATTCACAGGGAAAGCACAGAAGGAAGGAAGGTTATTTGATTTAATCCAACTTCGTGCCTTCCACTGGTTAAAAGGCAGAAGGGGAGGATTTTTTTTTCCCTCTCCGATTGGTTATTAAACCCGACTGAATGTATGAGGGTGAACTGCAGCAAGGAAAAAACAAAAAGGGGACAGATGGCATAAAACTGAAGAGGTATGACCAGGGGCCCTTACACTCAGTTACACGCTAGTATAGGTGTAAGAGGGTAAATATTCACACAATCACCTGATTTTGTATAGGGGTTGGGTACCCCTTGTACCCACAATAATTAAAATATTTTGCCTTTCGAAAAAAAA